CTACTAGGAATGTCAAACAGACTATCGGAAAGCCCTTGTAGTATTTGGGGCGAATGCGATGTTAAAACTCACCTCAATGATGGTCAGTGAGATGCAAGACTGGTGATTATGCCGATTATGTAGTATTATTTGCACCACTTATGGACATTAAGAATACGTTATGCTGTTTCGTTGACATCTTTAAAGAGGTTTTAAAAAGGCCATCTTAGACCCTTGAAAGGCCGATTCGTGGCCTGCAATGTGATCAGTCGTTGTACTGTTGATCATTATAATACTCAAGAGTAAGAAAAGGTGTATTTGGAGAAAGTTGTACGCTCAGGCGTAGTTGTTGGCTTTATGGTTATCATTTGAAGTAACCAATGTGGAAAGTAATTGGAAATAACTACTATAGATATTATTTGCTTTACTTTTCACCCGCCACTACAGAAAAGAATGAAAATCACCTCATCAGACCGCATCAAACGTTTACAGCCATCATTTGCACAGAGTTTGCACTCTAAGACGTAACGAATCCAGACTTGTCTCTTTTCATAAGTGAGTTACAAACCAGTAATCAACTGTCTCGTGATAATTGAGGGATGCTGTCAGTTTGAACACAGTCTTATGTCTCTTATACTCGGTGATCACAGTTTTTTTGTTGACATGCTCTGATGGTTGATGTATTTTAACAACAAGTAAAATCAACGGTCTTTGAAAATGACGCCCCTGCTATATGGGCACTCACTATCATGCCTCTTTGGAGTTTCTTGCTTTTAGTTATTGTCTTGCGGACTAGCTAAAATACGACTACATTATTGTATTTGTAGGGATCAAGCAATGATCTTAGACACCACTTAACTGGTCGTTTTCCAATATGTAATTAAATGTATATTTGAGTGGGTGGGTCCTAATAAAATGGCTTTTCACTGTACATGCATAGGCATTTACTAAAGGTACAATTGAAAACGTGTAGGTTTTTTAACTGATAAGAATAGTCAAGGTCCACAGTTTGTATTTGTTCACGAAGGACCAAGCTTGTTTCACTTGAGTTATTTCTCACTTTAACTTGTTTTTCTAATTTATTTATGAATTAATTGTTATCAGATAACAATTACATAACATGCTTAATAACGACAGTGAAAGTACCGTATTCTCAATTTACAAATTAGGAACTCAATATTAATAACTGCTTTGACACTTTTATCAGTTGAAGCACCCCGTCAAATTGAAAATGATTTCTTATGTATAGCATTCATATTACCCTTAAATTTTACAATGAATTAAACATTTTCCTTACAAATTTTGTCATGATTTTTTTACTCCTGATCGTGGCAGCGTAAAGCTACCAAAACATATAGCCTTTTAATGACCGTCAGCCAAATAATGTTTTTATTGTGAATTTTAAAAGTTGTTACATAATAATACTAAATTTTATTATGTCTCTAACGTGGTTTCGAGTCTCTCAGTGGGCCAGCGGAAAGTTTGCGGACTTATCACGCTAAAAATCCGTGAGTTGATTCCTCATGGTGGACAGAGTACAGACAACATGTTATTTTGATCTGCGCCAAAAACAGACAATAATAACAATGAAGGTGATCCCGAGAACTTCAAACACCATATTTTAACAAACTTACAGACGCATTTATCTGTTTTATACTGAAAACTGGAAGTAAAGTACAGAGTATTTTGAACAAAGTCACACTGTAGTTAATTACATTCCAAGTACAATTCTTAATTAAACTATGAATGCAGAAGCATACTTTACGCGAGGGACATAGCCTCTTACTTTTCCAACGATGGAGCAATATC